TTCCCTTTACATTCAATTTCAAAATAAAATTACATCAGTAACTATTTATCCAGACGTAGGTTAAAGTTGTTTTTATTTTGACGTGTCAAACAGTATCGATCACAATTCTATAAACGCTTGATCGAGCATTAAAAAGAGAAGACGTACACTTATTTACACTCGTTTTGAATTTTGTCACCCTAGGGGAAACTAACACATGCACGTAGCTGGCTCAATTTTGTTGTTACTAGCTGTACCTGTACCACAAACTTGTTTCTACTCTTAATATTCCACACTGATCCTAACTCGATAGTAATCGGGGATATAATTGCAATTTCAAATTACTCGCGATTATACTCTACGACCTGGAACATGTGATTCGAAAAAACGCATCGTCAGAGAGGAAATTCCTCTCTGGTCCACGGTTTAAGTGTTTCTACTTTTCGGCAGTAGACGGCACCACTCAAAATGTCAAATCCCAATACATGACAATTTCCTGTTGGGCCACATTTCCTCTTCTTTCTAAACATCCAAGATGGTAGGTAAACTCGGATCTGGGAATGTGTTCGATTCTATCCAAATTTTCACTCGTAATCTTACAGCAATGTAATTTTCAACTTTGAATTTTGATATACTGATTGTAATCGTAGAACCATGTTATAAATATTTAGCGGTTTTTAAATTCGTACTAAAATTCAATCTGAATAACCTTCGAGAGTGACAAGTTCCGCTGTTCTTACTGTTATTCGTACATTTTCAGGTGAATGTGCCGAAACAGAGACGTACTTTTTGCAAGAAATGCAAAGTACACAAACCTCACAAAGTGACACAGTACAAAAAGAGTAAAGAACGTCATGCATCACAAGGTAGGAGACGTTACGACCGTAAACAGCAAGGTTTCGGTGGACAAACGAAGCCTATTTTCAGAAAGAAGGTTCGTATCCGATTTTAAGCTAGTGTTATCAATACGTCCGTGCATTTATCTTAATACTTTATTCTTGTGTTCAGGCAAAGACGACTAAAAAGATTGTCTTGAGAATGGAATGTACAGAATGCAAATATAGGAAACAGATCCCTCTCAAGAGGTGCAAGCATTTCGAGTTGGGAGGTGACAAGAAAAGAAAGGTAAGTGTATCCTGTGCAACACCGTGAATTTTGTATATGTTTAATAACTAACAATACATTTTTCTTTTTCAGGGACAAATGATCCAGTTCTAAATTGAAGTTATCTATGTTAACTTTCTTTTTGTATTTAAAATGAAATGAAATAAACCTCTTGGAATCCATACAGCTGTTTATTTGCGTGTTTTATAACGTAAAAATATTTTATGCACTTAACATACGAATATAACTAAGTATCTATTCTCCTTTATTCTCACCATTATTCGTGGACTTCAAGTTAGAAACTACTTGCCGGGGGTCGCTGTTAATGTAAAAAATAATGATAGTATTAATGGCTTGATCTAAAGTACCGAATTAAGCGAAACGTAAAAGAGAAAATACACATTCTCATCTACGTTGCGTCTCCCCCCTTTAAACTTCATGATTAATACCGAGGTTAATATTTTATTCAAAGATTGACTCTTATTCGACTAGTTGCACTTACTCCAAAATAGAAGAATCCAATCCTTCTCGTTGCATCATTAATTTAACTGCTTCCTTCGGCACACCGAAGTGTACCTTCTTAAAATACTTTTCATAACGTGGATCTTTACACGCCGGTTGTTCTTCGATGTGCACGTCTTTGGGTTCATCTTGTTTCACATTATCAGGTTCATCTATTTTAGGTGCAGTGGTTTCTTCCTGCTTAATATCATTATTCTCTATAACACTCTTTGTACTTTCATCTTGCTCCAAGCCAGGTACAGAGGATATCTACGAAAAGATGTATGCTATTTCTTCGAATAAACTGATGATAAAAAAACGGTGGGTAAAACCAGAACTTCACATACCCAGGATTCTAAAATTTCTAACGAGGCCTCAATCCTCTGCAATTTATATTCAAATTCCATTAACCTCTCCTCGCATGATAGCGCAAATTTGTTCAAGAACGTAACAGTATGAACAATAAAATGATTAATAAAGGCAATCGTTCTCTTTTGATTGATTGGTGGTACCTGGCACAAAAGGCAGAGTTGATTATATTTTAGATACGTGTACAGATGATAGAAGATTAGGAAACGTAGGAACGAACGTCTGCACCTTCGTATAGTCGATAGTCGGCTCGATTATTGGGACTTTGTAATCATTCATCGTATTTTCTAAATGTTATTCCTTGTCGTCTAACTTTCTGAAACGTCAAAGAGTTTCGACGCATCGCTCCCGCGAATCATGCAAGTCTCGATCGAGAACGTATTCATTTACAAACGATAATCTCTCAGCTGCAGTTATCTTCTTTTGCGAAACACTTCGCTGCAGTTGTTAACATAAAAACGACGGGGTATTTAACACTTTTAACACGTTCCACAACAACAAATTTCTAAGGACGTGAAATCAGTCCCTGCAAAACCTTTGAGTATGTGGCGCACTGTAATTGATAATTTAGTACAATTGAGTACAATTTCAATATCTAATCGCATAGACGAAACCGAGACGATTAATTTTTTATCAACGTAGATTTTCCAGTTTCTCGACGATCTTACTTCAATTATTCGTTAGATCTCGGTATTTAAATAAATAAATTTTACTTTTGCTGCAAGTCGATAATGCAGGATATGCGCTGACAGTATGAACAAGAACTTTTTTAGTGGTCGTACAGGTTGGTTCCGTTGGTTTTGAGGACTGGATGTAACGCGGTAGAAAACGCGAGTGATTTGTTGTCAATAGGAATTAACTGTATGGATATTACGGGGAAAGTAAATATCCTTTGAAGAATGGAATCACCGCCTGATCTGGAAACAGTTTACCAGGCTGTATATTCTTTATATAATAATTCAAATCCTTCTGGGCCAGGAAAAACATCCCAATGGTTGGATGGATTACAAAAATCGGTAAGTTGATTGTTAGCGGGTTTTCCGCGATTTATCATCTATTCTCCATTTCTTCGTTAAAACTATACTTGTTGTCGATTTTCTGATCCAAATTAACGAACCAGTCATTGAAGAATCTAGATGTATTAGGAGCTGTGCTGCTAACCTTGTGTACAAGAATTTTACTCATTGTAATACGTTTGTTAATTCTCCTAGGTATTCGCATGGAAAATCGCTGATGAAATGCTGCAGCAAAAGCGAGATGTCGAATCTTGCTATTTTGCTGCGCAAACTATGCGTACAAAAATCCAACTATGCTTCCAAGAATTACCTGCAGAAGCTCACGTTTCCTTGAGAGATTCCTTAATGAATCACATATCACAGATCAGTGAACACACTAACTCAGCTATCGTTACCCAGGTTTGATACATCATTTCTCTCACAGCATTTATTATTATAGGAAGAGTCATACTTTAGTGATAATAACACTGTTCCAGTTGTGTCTAGCGCTAGCTGATTTAGCACTGCAAATGTCGTCTTGGCAAAAGCCAGTAGTGGATTTAATTAATAGATTTGGAGGATTGACCACCAGCTTATGGCCGTTGCTCGAAGTAATGACCGTGTTGCCAGAAGAAGTGAATTCAAGATCTCTTAGGTATGCAGCGATAAGAATTTGAACAGTTCTGTACGTCTGTTTATATCTTTAATTTATATATTGAATCCTTTAGACTAGGGGATAATCGCAGGCAACACATATTGCTCGAACTTAAAGCGAGTGGAGATACAGTGACAGAGTTCTTGGTGAGCATTTTTAGAAGAATTCATTCCTCAATGGTCACTATTAACTTTTGCTGTGTTTCCAGAAAATGTGTTTAAAGAACGGTGGTGATAACGTACAAATTCGTGTTACGATCCTTAGATGTTTTACAAGTTGGATTGCAGTGGCTGCCATACCACTCGTTCCCACAAGTGACGTTATTGTATATACTCTTCAGGTACGTTGTCTGAGTAACGAAGAAGGAATACTTCAAGTGAATACTTTCGTATACCGATTTGTATCATTGTTCAGATACTTGGAAATCATATGACTGGATCTCAATTACACGAAGCAGCAGCAGATTGTATATGTGTAATTTTACAAGTACTGGAGGAAGATAGCAATAAAAATCGGGATACTAATAGTGAATTTCATATACAGCTGCAACAGTTGCAGCTATTTCTTTTTACTAGCGTAATAAGCTTAGAACAACCGTATCATTTATCAGTTGCACACGAAGATATGGACAAGTAAATTTCACGTTCTAAATGACCGTATTCAAGTTGCGCTTGATATCTACTTTGTTATTTTACAAATTGTTTAGATCGATAAATTACTGTCGGATTTTTACGGAGCTAGCCGAGACATTCTTAGAAACTATGGTGAACGGATGTGCCGGAGGAAAGCAGCATTACGCGATTAAGATCCTCGACCTTGTCTTAGTATGCGTCGGCCACCACGATTACGAAGTAGCACTAATAACATTTAATCTGTGGTATCGTCTGTCAGAAATTCTCTACCATCAGAACAGCGATGATTTGAACGCAGTGTTCCGACCTCACATCGAAAGATTGATCGGAGCGTTGTGCACGCATTGTCAAATGGAGCCGGATCATGTTAGTAATCTTAGCGATGAAAAGTTCTGAATCACGAGTTTCGATCGAAATGAAATACATAAATGTTTTGTACAGCTGGGCTTGGTAGAGGAAGGATCCGGAGGAGAGGAATTCGCAGATTTCAGAAGTCGCGTCTCAGATCTGATCAAGGACGTAGTGTTCGTAGTCGGAAGTAGTCACTGTTTCCGACAAATGTTTGCATCTTTGACGGGCGGTCCAGGGCCACAGGGTCAACCTAATCATGTGCCCACATGGGATTCCACGGAAGCTGCTCTATTCGTGATGCAGGCAGTAGCGAAAAATATTTTACCGTACGTTCTCGATGTTAACGAGTACTTGTCTCGAGATCTCATCGTAATTCATCGTTTATATCTGATCACAGAAAAGAAAACGACGTAGTTCCAAAAGTAGTGGAGGCTATTTTGAATCTACCGGAAAATACTCATATAGCTGTTCGTCATACGAGCATTCTTTTGTTAGGAGAACTCTGCGAATGGATAGACAATCATCCTCAGTCCTTAGGTAAATTTCTGAACAACGATTATACCTGTGTAGGTGTGGGGAGTTTAAAAGCGATTGTTTGCAGAACCTATTTTAAACTTCCTTTTGACATGTTTGAGTCAAAAGGGACTGGGAAGTGCGGCTTGCGGTGCATTATTGAGTATATGTACTGCCTGCCCATCGCACATGGCTTCTCACTTTCCAGGACTGTTACAAATAGCACGTTCTCTCGATAGCTTCGCTATCAGTAACGATGCCGCTATCGGTTTACTCAAAGGTATATCAACAGATTTTATACAGTAATCGATTCAATTCGATGGGATATACAATTTACTGTTGTAAAACAGGTGTTGCAATAATTATGTCGAGTCTGCCGCGGGAAGAACTTACGCAGGCTATGAAGGAACTGTGCTGGTTCCAAGCGAGACCGTTGTGCGAAATAATGGAACACAGGATTCCCGTCGAAGGAGGAACGAAAACTGACCCTGTGATATGGCTAGATAGATTAGCCGCTATATTTAGGCATACAAATCCTCCGATGGAAGATCGCTTTGAACCTCATCCTTGTCAAAGTGCTATTACCGAAGTACGTTTCCTTCAGACACACGGTCCGTGTCTTTTCTATTAATAAATATCGTTTTATACAGATGTGGCCGATATTATCAAACGTGTGCACAACGTATCAACACGACGCAAAGCTGATGGAAAGATGCTGCCGCTGTTTAAGATTTGCTGTTCGTTGCGCTGGAAAACATTCCGCCCATCTTCTCGAGCCACTCGTGAAACAGGTATCTACGACGCGGAAACCGTTCGCCGCAGTGTCTCATTGTCTGTTTTGTTAATTTTCAGATCGTGCAATTATATGCTGCTCATCAACATAGCTGTTTTTTATATCTCGGTTCGATATTGGTTGACGAGTACGCCATAGACTCGGAGTGCGTTCCTGGTTTACTGAAAATGCTCGAGGCATTTATCGGACCTACTTTTAATATCCTCCAACAACCGGACGGACTGAAGAATCATCCCGACACAGTGGACGATCTTTTCAGATTATGTGCTAGGTATATTTTTGTCTCTAATAATAATACATAATTTGTTCTTCGTTCGTATAATTACAAGTCTTTTAATAACAGGTTCCTCCAAAGAGCACCGATCGCGTTTCTCTGCTCCGTCGTAATAGAAAGTATAATCGACTGTGCCCTGACGGCTTGCAGTTTAGATCATAGAGACGCGAACGTTTCCGTAATGAAATTCTTTTACGACCTCCTGCATTGCGGTCGTAACTACGAGGTAATTTAGTTAGCAATTACTTACACGATTTATTTGTCATGTAATTCTACTAATGTTTTTGCTTTTCACAAAAGAATCGGACGGACTACACAATACGACGGGAATTGGTGCATCGTATATTAAAAGAAAAAGGACAAACGTTGGTCACAAGGCTACTTCACGCATCCGTGTTCTCCTTATCGTCTTACATGTTATCTGACGTGGCGGATGTTTTCGTCGAACTTTCTTTAACCGACAGAGAAGTGAGCAACGACCATCGACTTTTCTTTATACGTGATATGTGATAATTATTTTTTAAATTGTAAATATCAATTGTTGTTCAGCTTTTATCCAAGTGGTTGGAAGAAGCTATTAAGACTATGCCGGCTAAGAACGCAGGTGGAACGCTGACGGCGCAGCCCGAACAACTGTTCGAGTTCCACAGCACAGTGACAAGGTATAGTTAAATATTATTCTTGATACCGCATTTGCTTCGACTACGGAGTATTTGAACGAGTTCGTTCGATTTACAGAGGGGAGACGGCGAAGTCCGTGAACCAGGCGTTACGCAATTTCGCGCGGCTGTATCGTTGATGCATTTCGACGGAAAAATTATCGGGGATCACTAACGTCAAAATTACGAGCAGCAAAGATCTTCCAAAGTCCTTCATACGATCGATACATTCGAAGGTGTCAAAGGTACAAGATTATTTCTGGAATGGTGAGTTTACGATGTATAAATGTACTGACAGAGGTTTTAAATATTTTCTACTTGTTTACTATCTACACATTCCTTCGCCAAAGTATGTAAAAAAACGATGATGGACACAATTTTCTTTTTGTGCATGAGCACGCTGTATCTAAGTAACTTGTTTTGAAAGTCGAACAGATAAACGTACCGAACATGGAAGTCTAAACACCGCTCACCTTTCAGTTATTTATGTTGTTCTTTAGTGTAGTTTTTATTGCATTTGTCTCGAGATCTTTAAACATACGTTAGCTGAGAGGAGGATTACCTATTTCATAGGTATGTATCTAGTCAATCTGAAGTAATACTATGCATACTTTGTAGATAGAGTGACAGGTAGTAAACATTTAAAAATCAAAGCGATTATATATTTTCCTGTTTCCCATATCTGACTTACACTGTTATCATTAAAATCGTTTGAGAACAAAACTGGATGCGCGCACCGTCGCGCGTTGGAATGTATCAAGTTTTACAATATCACATTACATCTTTTTAACGTTTTAACAGACCCATTGTATCAGTTACGAATTCTTTTTAGTCTTTTAAATTACTAATATGGAGATTAGAAACAATAAATCAAGTGTACAATTATTTAAGCGTAGACAAGCGCGGTGCATACGATACAAAATTAATGTGCGTATCATCGTCTTACATAGAAAACTTATTTAAGTTGCTACATTTTTCACATGTTATAACAATGCATTAATTTACTTCCACACATACACACTTGAATCATGTTTATGCGATATGTTATGTGATACAATTGGGAACGTGTTACCCGTTCTGATTCAATGAATATACATTTGAAAGTAACGTGTTCAATAATTCTAAATAATTAACTCGAAAATTTATGTCTCGAATCAACATATAATGGTACAAGAACGCACCGATACGAGAACGCGAAGCATCAAGTTATATACATACACTACAATTGCCCATTTTACACGACGGTTAAGCTGTACAAATAACTAACATAAGGTAATCATCTTCCTATAAATTGTTAATGTACAGATTAAATATTAATGAAGATAAGCACTGATATCGATAAGGAAACCGATTTTAATGTAAGATTGAAAGTGATTAAACTTTAAGAATATTTTAACGACTAGCTATTGTCCTTAGCGTTTACACCAGCATTTTACTTTACGGAGTAAATCTTAGCTGTTATAATAGAATATTTTTTATTTTCAAATACATGACCGCAATTAATACGACAATAAAGAGACAATTCTATTGTACCATTCCTGACAGAAACATAAATTCACGATAAACCTATGCACGTTGTAAATCATTCGAAATAACGTTCGTCCGTCCGTGGAACAACGCGTGGTGAAAGAATGTAGCGCCGGCATTCCACGTACGAGCTGATTCACGTTCATTTCGGTCAACAACTGTCAACGTTATTCAAATAATGACTTAGTAATCGTTGACGGATGATTCTGGCACTTGAGCCACGATTGCGAGTTCTATTCTGTACATTAACGAGCAACATCTACCTTAAAGCCTGCCGAGTACATCAGATAAAATTACGGAGAAATATTCATCGCAACTCTCAAAGGCCCTGGCTAGAATTTATTGAAATAATCCCCGTATTGTACTTTGGAAAAAGTTGACGATCATCGAGTGGGTGCTTGGTATCGGAAACAGGTATCCGATGGACTCGACGACGTTGGAAATGATTCAGGTTCCGATGCCACGTCTTCTCGAAGCATTGCTAGCGATCTCAGGGCCTGACTCACTGCGGCCGGTCGTGTTATGAGTCACACACAGTGGAACCTTATTGGTTTCCAACAAAGGAATGTCGTCGCAATGAGCTGGCTGCTCGGTATATTTCTCTCACCTGCCGTCGGGTCAATTTTCGACCTCTGAGACCGGAGAACCCCGTAATCGATGGCCGCAATAACGCGGCGTGAGACTTTATAAAAAGACGTACAGGGACTCGACGGATCGCTCGGTTCACCAGTGGAATAATCGCAGCGAGCTTTATTGCATCGCAGAAACGTCGTTTGCAACGCGTCGTATCATTGCGACCGGCGTGCAACCAGCACCCACATGTACCGTCTACCAATAGAAGGGCTTTAACTTGCCCAACCATTGACCGACGAACGTCTCGACATGTACACACCGAGGCGTATTGTCAACTAATATCATGTTCCATGTTACTGGTCTACCATTCACGACTTTTCACAACGTACGTACGTACGTACGTACATTGTGGCCAGTTTAACACGTCCGCTGTCGGCGGAGAACGAGAGATGCGCTATCACGTCTCGTTGTCTCGTTTTAATAAGTCCCGATGCCGACTTTCTATACTCAAGGGAACAACGGAAACGCGAGAGCCATGAGCGTGGGTCAACGCGAACAGGAGAACCTTTGTCAGAATTTCTTTTTTCTAGAATCGTTTCTCTGCGAAACATATTTCAGGAAACCCTAATTCCCTTCTGAGTCTAAACTCCTGAGTGGACCGTTATATTCTTTCCTTCCGATTCATCCCAGCGACAGCTTCCGTAACAATGGTTCGCCCTTCTTGGATTAGGACGTTCTACCTGCGCCCAGATCTCTTTGTGTCCCTCGATTTACGAGTGACCCACGGTCCTCTTTTACAGTTACTAAACAACGACGAGAACTTCCGATCGGCCCGGGCCATCTAGGATCGGTTTACCATCGACGTTATCCCGGCACGAAGGTTCCGACTAATATTTGAGGGAACAGAGTAAAATGCGATATTTTATTAACGGGGGTCGAGGCGAGGGTGAAAGGTGAGAGTTGGTTCACGAGCAATCGAACCTACGCTCCATCCGATAACAATGTTATCCAAATACGGTTGCTGGCGGTCGGTTGTACTAACATTTGCTCGTGCAAGATGCAGCACGTAACTATCGCTGAATTTCACCCTCTCTCATCGACGGCGACGGGGAACGCGGCGCGTTGCCGGGCAACCAGACAGTCAGACCGCTGTCTGCCGATCTGACAGGGGCGCGGAAGGCCGCGGCCAGATGCGAGGAGAGTAGACGCCGACGAGAGAGAGAAGAATTGAACACGAGAAACGAAGGGAGCGGGTGTAAGGCAGGTGTAGAGGGAGTAAGGTCGTTTGCTGGAGGGGTAACGCGACCATTTGACCGTAGGAGAACGAAAGCGTCGGAGAGAAAGCTCCGATGCTACGTAGGAAGAAAAGAATTCGAGGGTGGAAGAGAAGGACGAAGGCTGCGTCGGTAGAAAGATGGAACGAGGATCTGAGAAAAAAAGAAAATCCTCGGTTCTCGCGGAAGAGAGAGACAGAGAGAGAGAGAGAGAGGCCGACGGTGAGAAGGGTGTACGACGGGGAGAAAAAGTCGCTGCGTGGGAGGAAGAAGGAGGAAAGGGTGAGAGCGTGTGTATCGCTGTGTGTAGACCAGAGAGAAATTGCGAGCGAGCGGTGGTATTCGGTATAGTCTGGCGATAGTGGGGATCAGTGGCACCGATGGTGCATCACGGCACAGGGATAGAGGTAAAGCTGGTGGGAAACGTAGCGACGCGACGTCAGGGGCGGCTGGGCTAGACGGAGTCGAGGTCAGTTATCCGCCACGCCCGACGCCGACGCCGTCGTTCCGGCGCACCGCATTGCATTTTCGGCGCTACTGCTGCCGCTGCGTATCACTGCATTGCCAATGTTTTCCATTTTTTCTCTCTTTGTCCTCTTCCCTTCTTCCTGTGCTGCGTTTCGTTCTCCTCTAATCCGTTTCTCTCTCCGTCGTTCCGAGAATGAACTTCGCTACGATCTCTCTCTCTCTCTCTCTCTCTCTCTCTCTCTTTAACCTTCCCACTCTCTTTGTACGTTGCAGCAGGTTCGCTCTGCCTACTTGTCCATCGCTGACGTCTAAACTACCGCGCAACTCGTGTGGTCGTTGCCTCCGCCAACGACGACGACGGCCGCACCGAATTTGTGTCTCCGCAGTGAGAATTTTCATCCCAGGGAAATATTACCGTTCGTTCCCCGGTGGAAACCATGAATATTGCAAGCCACCGCGGTCAGGGATGAAAGAACGCCGGCTCGAGTCAGCCATTATACTCCGGTTCCTTTTAAATCTGTGTAAAATCGATGCGACGTTCCTCGGGTATAAAATTGCCAACACTAATTGCAAGACGGATCGGCATATTCTTTTCCCAATGGCACTGCTAGGAGTTTCGAACGACTCCTCCACGCTTTAACTGTCTCGCGGCTGTCTGGCCGAGTGGTTGGACTTTGTCAGGGTCGTTCTAAAGAACGAGCATCGCGACGATCGTTCCGAGCTCGAAAGAAGCGGCGTTAATAAGATAAGAACGTCGCTTTCCATCGTCTCGAGAATACGCGTTGCAGTTTCTCCTCGCAGACCAAACGAAACAGAAACGGTCCGAGTTCAGGAAATCGAATGCCCCTCGCTTCTAAACCTGACGAGCGATTCCGCTTCGCTTGACGTTTCTTCCTAATTAAAAAGCGTCGACGTCGCGCGTAGGTGGGAATGCGAAAGTTGGTTCTCGGAAGGTTCCACGCGAAAGGACGATCCGTAGGCGAGAAATAATAAAAACGATGCAGCGACGGGAAACACGGCCGATGAGGTTCGAACCGATTTCTTGTCGCCGCATTGTCCCGTTTCCTCGAACCGATCCGTTTTACGAACAGGACCCGAACGAAATCTCGTTTTGCTTGTGAAATTTTAGCAACGAGAAGGACACGTTCTGACAAAGCAACGGATGACTCGCAAAGAATTTTCTCTCATTTTTGTACAGAGTATAATTATAGACGCTGAAGGTCTCCAGGCGCGTTCGAATGAACGTGCGGCCCTCCCGAAGCTATCATCTTTTCGCGAACGTGATTTCGGATAAATTTCATTTCGCGTATATTTTCAGTATAATCAGCTGTCGCCGGTTCAGGGAGAATGCAAACGCCTGGGCCCGGGGCACAAAGTCGCGCAGGAAAAGAGAAAGAGAAAAAAAAAAAGAGCGAAGAACACCGCGGGAACGCAGCGACGTTTCACCGTGCGACGCGGTTCAAAGACGAGGCGACACGATGATCGCGCTCAAACGCGCGACAAATTAACTCCCGCAGTGACAGACAGAAAGGAAGGAAGGAAGGGAGATATACGTGCGCGCGTGTGCGTGCACTTGACTTTGAATTATCCGCTTAAACGGCGAAAAGAAAAACACGCACACGCCACCGATACTTTCCCTCGAGGCTCATTTTATTCGAGTGAAAGTTCTCGTGTCGTTTAATATCGCGGCATCGCGCGAATCCGTTCCGGTTCATCGACGCGAGATGATCGATCACTGAGATAAGCCTCGATTACGTTTCACCGACGATCCGCCGTTGTGTCATTTCATCCATTGGCTCGGAGATCCGATTATCAACTTTATCGTCATCGGAAGCGATCGACCACGGGGAATATTTCTGTTCAATGCTAATTAGACCGTCCGTCGTGTCTGGACGTCGGTGAACGATTCCGCGGTCCCTCGATTAATCGGGATAATCGACGTCCCACCTTAAGCGTAAGTTTCGTCGAGGACCGTTTAAAGGGCGTTCCTGGTAAAGGAAGGTCGAAGGCCGTTCGCCCAAAGTGCGGAGGAGCTCGGTGCGTTGATCGATGAACACAGATCTGCAGACAGCGGGCGTCCCCTTTCCCCGGCGTCGGGGCAACCACCGAGCCCTCGCCACGTCTCCCATCTGCCTTGGTACGTTATTGGCACCGGCTGATGGCCGATGCGAATTCGCGTCGTCGGAGAGGAGGAGGAGGAGGAGGAACCGAGATAAAGCACGGAGAGAACGAAGAACGATGGAGAAGCTGCGACGGAGATACGCACCCGTCGGCCAAAAGGAATCGCCCGTGATAAGGCAGCGCGATTCAGGAACCCGTTTCTAGGTAAGAATAGAAAGAGTAATTATGCCGTGTCGAATCTAACGAGAAAGTAATAGACGTCTCGCTTCTAAGTACGTCGAGACGTGCGTTCAAATCGCGCTTCTATATTTTCTATTGAACAACGTCGTTACGGCGGACATTAACGGGGCAATTATTGGAAGAAGCGGATACGTATAGCTGAGATCGATGAGAAACGAATGAGAACGGTGGCCGTATTGCGCGCCGCGATCTG